ACAATATTTTTCCAGTAGCCACGATGATGGGCACAAGGAGCGAGGAGAGACCTGCTTCATGACGTCTCTCTTACTCTTGTTTGGTGATGAGGACTAAGAAGATTAGGTTATAAGTTTGTCATTTATATACTCGTATATCTTGATGATCTACATGATTTTCTATGGCGAGTCAGAAGATAAAAATAAATATGTCGAAGTTCTACAGGTGTAATAGAAACCCGAACACATTTGCGTGAAAGGAATCGATATCACAAGGCACAGGAACTTAGTGTGGACTTACGGCTTTGATCCTGACCTTTTCTAAACTCCTTCATGACCTGACCTTTTACCTAGTCAGTTTATCATCACTAAGCTTTAACTGACCTCTTAACCTCTTGTTGCTTGACCTCATAACCTCCTGTTCTTTGCTTAACCTGTAGTACGGTAACCTCTTCCAACCTTTACATTTCCTGCCTATATGTTGAGCCCTTTGAGCTAATGACCTCTGCCATACCCCCTCGCTCCTCCTACTCAGTATAGTCACTTCACTTTCTCTGCAAAACTCTTTTTACACTCGGGAGTTTCCACTTTTGACTGAGATCGTGACTTAAGCTATTCAAAATGTTAGCCTCTCTCTCTCTCTCTCTCTCTCTCTCTCTCTCTCTCTCTCTCTCTCTCTCTCTCTCTCTCTCAACGACAGCCTTACCTAAACCTCAAAGCCAATAAATTTATTCTGATAATTAATTTCTGTTCTGTCTTCCGTCAGAAACTCATATATGAAGTCACTGCAGATGGTTGGTTACATTTTTATAGCGTAAGAAATAATCTCAAATTAATACTCATGGTAAGTTATTAGAATTTGCATAGAGTCTCAGAAGGAAGAGTAATGAGATTAGCTTCATAGATTAACCAGGGCAGTGTTGTGGACCCGTGTTCTGTGTATTGGTGTTTACTTAATGAATTAATGAGAGAGTTAGTGGGTTATGTCTGCTGCCTGGTGCTTTGAGAGGAGTCGAGGATCTTCAGTTAATTGTGGTGTAATGTGTAATGTAAATATGTGGTATCTTTAAGGTTCCTGAATTGTTTACTTTAGGATATGTTGTTTTATTGTTAAGTTAAATTACCTGTAATTTAGAGACTACTGGTATTACAGGTATATTGATATGTGTTCGCCAAAGGCCACATAAATTTTGTCTTGAGAGCACATAATGTTAAGCCTGAATGATACGTTATGTTACTAGACCAGTTTATAAGCTTGGCCAAAGTTAAGTCTCTCTCTCTCTCTCTCTCTCTCTCTCTCTCTCTCTCTCTCTCTCTCTCTCTCTCTCTCTCTCTCTCTCTCCCCTACAAAAGTGTCCTTGCAGATGAAAAAACAAACAAACAAACAATAGAACAATCCCCTGAGACTGATTGGTTCCCCAGTAATGTGAAATAATCAAGAAATATTAAGTTTCCTCAGATTGTTTTTATTTTTTCCCCCCAGGGACGAAGGGCTGCCAGTGTGAGCTATGAAGTAATTTAGTACTTGGGAACACTTTATCTTGGCGTTTCACTTTGGATCTCCATTGGTTTAAGTTGGGATATAATTGTTTTCGTTTCCTTTTTAGTCGTTTAATTTCCAGTTTTGTTTTATTTTCCGGTCATTTTTATTTTGTTTAATCTTTTACCACTAGTTATCTCAGGTGCCATGTGACCTTGCGACGTTAAGGTAATATTCATAACATTCATTCACTAGTACAGTATACTACAAGTACTCTCAATATGCTCGTAAATGTGTGGGTGAAGGTGTCCAGGCAGATACATATTTAACACTATATGAAAAATGCACTAAATTGAAAGTTTTAATATATATGGAAATGTTATTGCAAAACGAATTTGACTTTTTTATGCAAGTTTAATGCACATAAGTAAAATCCCTTTAAATGTGTCAATACTGTGACCGTCGTGATTAACTAAACATAACAATTTGTTTTTTACTATTTGAAAATAAAATAAAATTGTAAACGATTGATACACGTATTTTGGTCGTTAGCTTACCTGTTTAATTTATACTTTAAAGTTAAAATATAATAGGTGAAAATTGTGTAGTTAAGATTCTCTAATCATTGAGTTCCAAAAGAGTGACATTTCGTAAAGCAAGAGAAAAAACTGTTTAATAAATACATTGAAGCAGACTTGAGAGCGACCCCGTAAAGTTATATCCTCCTTTCGCCCAGAGAGCTTAGTTTGTGGGATGCTTAAGTCCTTGAGGTGTGGAGAAGCATATATATTTCTGGTTTCTCCGTGACTTTAACCTCTGGCAGATCACGTCCACAAAACTCCCATGGAAAACCCCCCCATCTTGGTGTGTTTGGAAGTTTGCAACGCGAAGTTAAAATGGATCGATTGACCTTACTCTGTCACCCTGACCTTTGACCTCGGACTCCACCCGAACTTATCAGTGAGCTTCCTGGATCACCATCAGAAATATATCCCATAAATTGGATCATGTTACCCAGCAGTTAATAAGATTTCAAATATAACTAATTTTCCCTACAGATAAAAAAGCTGATGAGTGATAATTAACACGATTCGTTTAAAAGACGTTTATTGAATTGTTTTACCATCTTGTAATTTTCAATGAGAGGAAGTTAAGCTGTCACTTTGTTGGCACAGGCTTGAAAAACTGTAAGAGCAAAGTTGGGTAATTGATTTAACTTTTAGTTCCCGAGTTACAACAGAGACTCTTTTTGATTGCGTTCTCTGTGGCTTGACTCTTAACTGCCCGTTCTCTGTGACTGACTCAAACGCCCGTTTTCTGTTACTAACTCAACTCCCCTTTTTCTGTGACGAACTCGACTGCCTGTTCTCTGTGTCTGACTTGAGTGCCCGTTTTCTGTAACTGACTCTCAATCATTCGTTCTCTGGGACTGACGCTCAACCGCTCGTTCTCTGTGACTGACTCTTAACCTCCCGTTTTCTGTGAATGACTCGATCGCTTGTTTTCTGTGAATGACTCGACCACCCGTTTTCTGTGACACTCGACTGCCAACAATCTAAAACAACTGGCTGCTTGATATAACCTCCACACCCTTATTTGGAATTCTTAAGACAACAGCATGAAGTTGAACATTATCAAACTTTGACACTGAAGTCTTTCAATAGTTTTCATCATTTTCATCTCTTTAAGTCTTAAGGTAACGTCTTTGTATAACAATAACTTTATTACTTTACCCTAAATATAACCTAAATATAAGTGACTTCTAGGGCTGACTGTCAGAAATCAATTTTGTGTTTAAAGGAGATAGCTTGAAGTTCTTGATAGCGAGAGTGTTGATGGCTGGAGAGAGAAACTTACAACTTCTCGCCAGGAATGAGGAAGAATTAATGAGGGTTGTTAAGTACTCTCTTCCATAGCAATGTGAAAGTCAATAATAGTGCATGAGTACAAGTAAGTAAGCTGACAACTTGACATGTTTTTCTGCTTTACATATTCCTCGTGTATCCCTGATATTAAAAGTGAAAACAGATAGACACAGACAGAGAGACAGACAGACATGTTTAGATCAATATGTCTCCTTGTATGCGTAGTGAGTACATAACAAACTGAATGACAAGTCTAAAACACGTAGTAATTGGTAGTTTAGATTAATACAAATGGATAAAATTATAATCAACCTAACCTAACATAACTTTAATCAGAAGCACAAATATCCTCACTTGTGTTTAGCAGGTAAAGTGAGATGCCTATTTCGTACCCAACTTAAGAATAAATAGTAACAATAATGGGTTAATATATACTAGTAGGGAGATAATTAATATTGTCTCACCTTGTGCTGTTTACCCTTAGGGGTGTTTCCTCTTTTAACTGAGACCTTGACTTAAGCTATTCAATAAGTAAGCCTTTCAATGCTTATACTCTCTCTCTCTCTCTCTCTCTCTCTCTCTCTCTCTCTGTTAATTAAACAAAGCAAAATACTAAGCACTAGTTAAGTGTATTAACATTAAAATTTACATGCAATACCTTATCCAGTTCTCACAGTTAACACAAGAACAGTTCCTACGTACGGTACACGGACCAAAAACAACGCCGCTGTAACAAGGAAATTTGTATTCGATCCAAACCCATGTGTGTGTGTTTGTTGTATTTGTTCCTTGTATGGTGAGGGTGTTGTGTTCTCTGTCACTGTCCATGTGTGTCAGTTTTTGTGTGGTGAATGATTAATGGTTCAATGTGTGGTTGTCATGTAGCCCTGGGTGTGATGATAGGTGGGGAGGGCTGGTTGGGGAAATATATCCGGCTCTAGGCTGTATGTATGTTACGGTAACCACTTCTGAATTAATACGGGAAGAATGTAGTGTGTGTGTGTGTGACCTTACAGAACTAATGATGGAAGATGTTACGATTGTTTTGATAATGAATAACAATAATTAGAAGCCACGTTAATTGTATACACGTTTGATTAATGAAATCTGTTCGTCTTGCTGTCTATTATAACTGACAAATTTGTGTTTATAAAGGTCAGTATTGTGTATATGCAACTTGGAAAATTATACTAATATTTTTTTGGCAAGCCTCCTCGATCGCCTTGCAGAAATCAATATACTGTATAACATTTTACCAGATATCGTTTCCAGGTTCATCGCTCTCTCTGATGTGACCTAAATTCTCGAAGATTTTTCTCACAATATTTACAAATCGTAGAGGATAAAAAAATATTTCGAGTATGATATAAAGATTCTGATACCCATTTTTTTTATATTATATTACTTAATCTATATACAGTAATAGGGTTCCAGTTCCATATAATTGGGTTTACAACTGATTTCATCGAGTGATGTCGTTACCTGGAACGAATTTGAAGTTCCAGAAGATTTTTCGGTAATATTTTTCAGCAGATAGAATATATTTCACTGATGAATTTAACGTAAATTCTAAATCTAACAGATCTGCTTTCGATGTTTTTAGGTCAAATGGTAATTGATATAATTAGGCTTGATAATTTAAGTATTTTGATGACCATATATTTGAAGCTACTGACCTTAAATTGATGAGTTGATGCTGATGACATGACGTGATGGTGGAGAACAATATAGGGGAGGTGGAGAGAGCGACACAATCACTCCTCCACACCAAACACCGCTCACTTGTCCTGTGTCTACATAGTAACCTCAATGATTACTGTGGTGTTGTATGTCATAGGTTAACCCGTTTAGTTATTTATCATTGGAATAACCCTTGTGTCTCATCGTACTCTTAATACCACGGACTCGACATTGTGAGATTGAAGACATCAGAGAGACACCCAAGACCTCACTAGGATGTAAGTGTGAGAGGGGGTTTCTAATCTCATGACTTTTATCACATCCACTTTTACACACGTTTGAGTTTGTTAGGTTCGACGTCACTTAGTCGCTAAAGGTGGGGTGGTGCAATTACCTCGCCACACCTGCACTTTAATGCCACCTGCTGCTCCACCTGTTGCTAATTGATATATGGCTTTGCGTATTTGCTCTGTTTATGTCTGTCCTCGCACTTGTATGTTCACTCTTTATATACGATTTAATAAAAGGTTTATATTTTTTTTTTCGTTTCAAACGCTAGAAAACAAATCGAATACAGTAATAAAGATGATTTAAAGCGGTGTTCGTGTTATCTTATATTTACAAACACTTGATGGTACTCTAGGCTTATCACGCGAAGATTACCAGTCTGTCACCTCACATGTTTTCACGTGAAGATCATGAGTGACTCTCTCTTCACTCTCCTCATTAATCACATGACCTCTTTTGGCTGGACCACTTCACATGTTATTACGTGATCTGAACGACTTGATCAACTAACAGTGTGACAAACATCTACACAGTGCAGTACGTCACGGTTCCACAAGTTAGTAAAAGAACTAATACCTGATGTAAACATATATTCTCTGACCATGAGACAAAGATATTTATTAAAACCCACTTAAAAAAGAGAGAAATTCACGACTAGCTGAAAAACAAAATGTTGGAATTAATTAAACTTTAGAATGTAAATTATTGCGTTTAATGAGAATCTTTATTATAAAAAAGCAAAGAAGTCATGTGAAAGTAAAGGTATTTTTTGCATGTAAAGTGAGTCAAATGTGTATTTTTTTTGTGTGTGTATATATGCGTTTATATATAAAGTACATATTTGTATTCATGTTCATATCTGCCTCTAGTTGTTTGCGTGTGGAAGCGTCTACCTGGATGTGTCTGCATGTGTTTGTCCGTCTGTCTGTGTGTTTGAGTGTACGTGTGTTCCTGTATTCGTCTGGGTGAGAATACGTCATGTTTAAATTCTCTCTCTCTCTCTCTCTCTCTCTCTCTCTCTCTCTCTCTCTCTCTCTCTCTCTCTCTCTCTCTCTCTCTCTCTCTCTGTGCATTTCCCAATTTGTTTTTTAGTTATTGACCTTCCAAATGATGAGAACATGTCGTCCCTTTCAATTAGGCTAATGATGTTTATATTTATATAAATATTCCGTAAAATTGAGAAAAAATCATAACGAAAGGTTGCCGTAAATGTCTTTATTTTATAGTTATGTGGTAATGGTAAGGTCATCAGGAGAGAGAGAGAGAGAGAGAGAGAGAGAGAGAGAGATTTTGTTAACAATGAGACGTAAATATTTTGATCCATAAAATATTCTCAAAACTTCCCAAATATATAAGGGTAATTTTTCTTTCCCAACTGTTAAGAAATTATTTACAATGTTAAAAGTGATATTTTCTACAACTCACATAGGGACGTGAAGAGATTGATAATAATGCCATTAAGATATAAATGGTGTTGAAAACTGCAACATTATCAGTGTCACTTTGAAATTCATTATACCTCCTGCGTAAGGTAATTATTTTGGGTAATATTACTCCAGAACGATACAGTTCACGGTGCCGTCAACAGACTAAAAAGAGAGAAAAATATCAGTCTGACGTGTTATCAGGCCGCATTTTTTTTTCACGAGATGATTGCCTGAGAAATATTTTTACACCGCACGGCACTGGCACACGCGCCAAGTTTCACAAATATATTTCAAAGTGTGTTGCAACCTTTTAGGCCAACAACTTTAATAGAATATTAAACTAAACCTGAATGAAAGTCTCAGAGGAGCTATTGTCTGTATAATTCACATATTGAACAGTAGTATCATCACCTGTGACTAATCTTCATGTATTAGAAATTTTAGTGTTAGGTGAACAATAGACAAAGTTTAATATTTTTATGTAAATTATATTGGAATCTTCAACGTGTTATTATAAATGTTCTTTAGGTTATTACAAATAGTTTGCGTCTCATAACAGTAACAACTACAAGTACTGCCACAGACGGCTCTTAAGTCTGTGACCTTTACATTAATTCAGTTGTAATATAGATTTTATCAGTGTATTCCATGTTACTCTCTCGTACATGTGTTGTTTTATTTATATCAGTAAAGATTTTTTTTAGATATGTTGGTGAGATGCATAGTTACGTACCTAACTACTTGTCCATCTACCGTCCTATTTGCACATCTATCTATACCTGGTCAGTTATCTATCAGTCTGTCTACTTATCTATCTGCCCAGCTACTGCCTACTTTTCTACACACACACACACACACGCAAACAAGAGTTCGGATAAATTAATTGTTTCGAGTCGTTGATGTAAAAACTATTTCTGCACTTATACAACTTGTCTTTAAAGTTAGTCATCAATAATTAAGTATTAAGGAAAATATATCTCTGGTTCGTCGTGTCTGGAATATTCAAAAGATAAATATAAATTATTTTAAATAAACTGTTTATATCACAAAAATAGTATTAACATATACATCATTTCCTGCCTGTTGATTGTTTTGAATTAATTTTAATTGAATACATAAATAAATGAACACTGTACCAATCATAAAAACAACAATTTATTATATGATATATATTTTTAGTGTTGGGTAAAGCAAGTGTAGAAACTCCCGAAATTTTCAGAGTTTTGTATTTTAGTTAGAGTACAGACGGTATGTAGGTGTACTGTAGCTGTGACGATGTTGTGTTATATGTTCTGAAGCAGTGATATTTGTTATTATGTATTTTGTATCTGTAAAGAAGCTGTATGTCAGTGTTATATTACAGTAGAGGCAAAAATTTTAATTCATCTCGGCTGAAACAAACCTTCTATACAAACAGTTTTAGCTGAGTAACACTGAGGCATCGTAGTTGTGGTGAAGCTGTGTTTTATTTATTTATTTATAGTGCGTTTAACCCTTTGATAACGATTTATTTCCCAGGTACAATGTCATCGTACTCACGGATATAGTAAATTATATTCAAAGGATTATAACACAGGTTTAATAGTGTTCTCTAAAATAATGTATTCATGCAATTAATGATTTATTATTATTTAACAAGATATTATATCCAAACGTATATAATGATTATCTTATGCATTTGTTTGGTATTGTGTTCATGAGATACGTACTTGAGTGAATTTAATTGTATTTAACGAATATTTGATGGGAAGTGTCGTAGTGCTCATAACAAATAGCGCATTTTCTTATATACTGTTCATAGTTATAGCAATAGTAGAAAATATAACTTCTCCCATATAAATTTTTTCATATATCAAGTATTTCTTAGCATATTTCTATCGAATACATTTAAGAAAATAGTTTAATTAAATGAAGAAAAAAATATTGCTAAAGCGGAGTTGAAAATAAAACAAATTCTTGGTGTATTTGTGTTTTAGCAAGGGGGGGGGGGCGACGAGGAGGAGGAGGTGGGACGGGTAGACGAGGGGTATGGGGGGGGGTGAGGAAGAGAGAGGAGAGGCTTAAACAGATAGCATTGTCTTGGTGGATAATCTGTTATAATTCTCTATGTGTGTTATTTCTTTTCATTATTTTTCTATTGTCATATCAGTGAACACATCATTGCATTCTAATTGGAGGATTCAGTGACAGAATAGTTAATTATTTTGAGTTTAACTACATATTATTTTGATTCCTTCTTGATAGTATTATGGGAAGATAATTAATCACCTATGTTATTTATATTTAATTATGTATCGCGTTATTACGTGAAAATTATTAAAAGGATGAGCGGCAGCCTTAAAAATGCATCAATAAGCTTGGTTAATTACTGCCTCGAAAACAAAGTAATGGTAGCGGTGTGAGATTAACTATGTTTCTTTAATGGTAGATGAGCTGTTGGGATCTTAACGCGGGAGTGATTTCAATTCCGTTTGATGTCTCGTCCAAATTACCTTTCAGTCAACCGCGTCGAGGGTATGTCTGAAGAGAAATCCTGTTTACTCCACAACCTGGCCTTCATGTTAATTTCCTGCTGTGTTTTTCTTCTTTACAAATGTTAATAGTTACTTTTTTCATTCATCTAATCTAATTTTAATTGTACCCAAAACCATAGAAAGTATTATTAATATGTAACACACCTCACACACACATACACACACACACACACACACACACACACACACACACACACACACAGGAGAACGTTACATTTTTAATCAACACATAAATATACATGAGTAAATCTATTTTGTCATATTGTACAGTCCAAAAATCATGAGTTTGCATAAAATATTAAGAGCAATTAAGGTATTAAATTTGAGTTACTGGATAAACGAAACTAAGAAACACGTTATGCGAAAAGTAACCTCAGTGAAGGAGGGTAAAGAAACTCTGGCATAATTACAGTATAAATGTAATTGACCTATAAAGTACAAGAACAGAAAGATATTGCAACAAACACGAAATTCAGAATGGCGTGCAATGAAAGTTAACGTCAGTGAAGAAAGTTATGATACAAAGTTATATCCAATACTGAATAACCTTAAAGTTGTATGAAATTCAAAGTTGTATTGTTCGCATTTGTTTAATGTCAGTCTATCTGATTTTCGTCTGTCTTTATTTTCTTATCTTGATATTAGTTAGTGATTATAGATATATATGACGATAAAAGAAAAATACAGTATAAAATATCTTCTTTCTTTCCGTATTATAAAATCATATAACAAAAACATATAATTGTATTTAATTTAGACGTGTGTGTGTGGGGGGGGGGGGTCGAGTGGAAACAGTACTCGACTCCTGTCTTGGAGGGTCTCTGGCTCGTGGTCGGGGCAACACCTCTTCACTTAGCTGTGATTGGGTGCCAGACAGTTTTTGTATACTAAATAAAGTCTTTGTCGATGACGTCTGTATCCACACTATCAGGTTACGGGCGGCTTAATAAAATCGTCTGAAGTTAGCAGGAATAAAATACCTTACTGCGACACTATTCCTTTAACGTTAATGATATAAGAATATTACATTTTTGACTGTGTATGTGTATGTGTGTTTTATCGTAAAGATGTTCGCTCTCTTTTCTCTATACTTCATGGAGAAAAATTTCGCTCAAGTGATGTATTCAATTTAATATCACAAAGTGTGTAGTAGTTACATTTAAAAAATAAAGTAATAACAAATATATTCTAAAACACTATTTGTTATACTGTATATGATAAAAATGTATTCTGACAAAATTCCACAAACGATCGTTCATCAGCAATTTGCATAATGGTTTGGACAATATTCTTTATGACTACGACAACAAAATTTTTGTATTATTTTTCGGGGAACATGAGAGCCAGACCTGGATGATCCGCCCCCGTGTAATAGTGTTAATATAAATAATTCTGGTCGCTTTGTTCAGCAGATAATGTCTAGATACTTTAAGACCTGAATGCCTCACGGGTCACCCAAGCGTACAAGAACCTCTCTCTCTCTTTGGATATACTCAGGTTTAGTATGAAGAGAATCTATCCACACACACACACACACACACACACACACACACACACACACACACACACACTTTGTAATTCATAGGTTAAAATATAAATCACACCGAGATAAAGACACTCCTAGATGACACGCCTCCTCGGGGAAGGTCCTACAAAGCCCTCATAACAAATTTGAAAAGTTTTACCCAGGAATGTAATTTTGGTTAATATTTTATGTATACGGAAATTTTTAAGATTTCTTTAGGTTGAATAAATGGTATGTGGACTTTTTTCATTCATGTATATCTATGAATAATCTTAGCATTAAAGATTATTATTTTTTATTTTAGGAAACGTTTCTTGCTTTGCGAATCAAATTTTCAGCATTGTAGAGAAGTGTCAAGTGTATATTTTGCATATAATTACGAGGGAATAATAACTATAGTGTTATGTATTATTATGTATGAAATCATAAAGTTTCTCTAAAGCAACTCCTTATGTGGGAAGGGAAGCAATTATTATGTATTTTTCAGCCGTATGTTAATTTACACAAACCAGCTGATCCTCTCCAAACGGGATATGTTGGAAAATTACACACCAGTCGACTCAGATCACGTAACTGATCTTAAAAAAACAACCACGAACACGCCTTTGATCTAAATCCAACTGTCGACTAAAATCTTGACCTCCCTCGTGTCTCTGTGCAGTGGCTCGCAGAACACCTTTGGACAAACAGTTCTCGATCTAAGAATAGATCTATAAATTAAATACCTCGTTATTAATTTTTTTAGATGATATAAACAATGAAAATAAACATGAAAGAATATAAAAAATTCCCCTAAATTATGTAAAGTCTCGTGTTGTTTTGAGCTTTTTTAAGATATTAATTATTCACGTATTCACCAATGTATCAGAAAACCAGTCTTCCAGGGTAGATTAATATACAGGATTAAAAAATATATCTCCTTTGAATTATCTTGAAACAATCATAAAATACTTCTTGTATCTCTCAACCTCTTGCTGTATAGATGTGTCCACACAAAACCACTTATAATTAGACTTCAATACGTCTATAAAATATTCACCACTCTTGTTATAATAAAATATTAGAATTTGTACTCGTGGTTAATTATATACCCCGAGTTATTATATATTCCTGAAGCTTAATAAAAAACATATTAAAGTCACATACGTCCATCAATACGAGACTGAGATTGAACCTTGATAACTTGAGGGTTTTCGTACATATAAAGTGAGTTGAGTCTGTGATACAATCTTTACTACTTCAGTCTATAACTAACAGAGAAATAAATTTACCATTAACCAAAACCTATTCATTTCCTCGTTCACTATCACGACTTAACAATTATTCAATATATTTTTCAAAGAGTTAAGGCAATAAATAATTAATTAAATTGTGGTATTCTGTATCGATCACAAACAAACAAACAAATAAACCCAACAAGTGAAAACTAATAGCACTCGGATATACTAAAAGACAACATTAAACTAGCTGTAAAATCCTGTTGTTATATTTTGAAACAACTAATTGATGTAAACTCATTAGAATTATCCAACACGTTTTATGGATAATATTTTGACTGAGTGAGAGAACCCCAAACAGATTACGTTTTCATTGTCGATTTTAGCACCAGATGTTATTATTATTATTATTATTATTATTATTATTATTATTATTATTATTATTATTATTATTATTATTGAATCGTGAGCATTAAATTCAGTAGCTTCCATTACATTTATCCTATGTAATTAATCATCTGTATACTGAATAATATATCACCATTTTTTTTTACATGGTCAACTAGTTTATGACGTCAAAACATAAACTATGGTCATTATTACATTCGTACCTCATACAAAGTTTATATTTATTATGCTACTCAAGGCTGGATTTATTTTGTACCGGGAACTTTGGGTAAAAAATATATATATGAGAGTATTTTATGGACTTCAGTTCTATTGAGGAATAATTTCGTTTTAATTCCTACCCTAGATTTTCTTTCATTTCATTGTCCTCTGATGTTTGTCTTTGCTGCCACACACACACACACACACACACACACACACACACACACACACACACACACACACACACCTCTGTTCGTTCCTTGTGTTACTAATATTACTCGCCTCCTTTGAATAATTATTGTTTGTGTAATTCTACTTCTATGTCTCGTTGCCTTATGACATTTCCCTTTCAGCTCTTTCGCCATACCATTTATGACTCTGCATCTCCCAGATCATTTCTCATTATTATTTGTGTAGTGTGTGTGTGTGTGTGTGTGTGTGTGTGTGTGTGTGTGTGTGTGTGTGTGGAAGTGAAATTTTCCTCCTTCAGTTATGTGAGCCTCAGAGTTCATTTCGGAGATGAGTTTATCAGCGAAGAGGAATGGCTGGATGGCTGAGACATTACGTGTTATGTGGTATGATGTATCGAGCTCTTTGCTCCCCCTCCCCCCTTACAGGCAGACCGACAGGCACTTGATCATGGATCCTTTATCGCTGACATGTCACTTTTTTTATTCCTAGTATGAACACCATTCCTTACCTCAGTTACATGAACATAAAACATTAAACTTCCTCGGATAGATTCTCATTTTCTGGTGTACTGTACAAGACAATAGATCAACTCCCCATATATAAAGTGGTGGTTTATCTAACATCCAAAAACAAACACATAAACTAAATACTAATTACAGAGCTGATTTTTTTTTATTTCCATTAATGACAACGTAAACATTTCCCAAGTCCGTATGTTTTTTTTTTTTTTTTAGTCATGTATAATTCTTTGAGCGTGACAAACCCAGCTAGAATGTGTCAGGTCCAGCCATGATTGCAAAGAGAATGGAGCGTTGTGCATAAACTGCCCTTCGTTGTTTTTTATTTTATGTTCCAATTTTCCATAAAAGAGAATTTTTTATGAGTTAATTGTGCTGATTAATTTGACAGACGGAAAGAGACACAAGAACAGAAAAAAATGTCAGTGTGTGTGTGTGTGTGTGTGTGTGTGTGTGTGTGTGTGTGTGTGTGAGAGAGGAGAGAGCGAGAGAGACTATAACGTATATTGAACCACACAGTGAAGGCCTTGTGAATGAATCCTCTCCACACACACTTCTACGCAACAAGTTTATCGTTAACTCCTATACTATATCACTTTCTCATTATGCCACTTTCTCTCTCACTATGCCACTTTCTCTCTCACTGTGTCACTTTCTATCTTACTATAATATTACCGTCATAGTTAATAATACCGAGGGCGTTATTTAAACCTATTACATAAAAAACAGACTTAAAATATCTCAAGTACTCTCAGTCACTGTACAAAATAGTGTTACCCAGCAGATCAGGATGTGTTTTTATAAAGTCATACATACATACATACATACATGCACACACACTGTACGTAGATTTAAAAAGTGGTATAAAATAATCCATTTTTTTTGTTCATAAGCTGTTAAGTAATTCTGAGTTACTTATACTATATACCAGTTATCTATGTCTGCATTACCCAGTGTCTCAGCTGTTGGATGTTGGATACGAGATGGATTATTTTTTTTTCAGGTGGATAATCTCATCTTCGTATGTGTTGTGTTGCATCATACATTCATTTGATGTTTAGTACGTAAGGCGTAATTGGTATAATGTGAATTATTATCATGGGCGGATGGCTCACTGTGTAGTTTAGTTACCAAGTACCAGTAATTTTGTGTTTCTAAGTTCTTGTTGGTAGCACGAGTGAAGTCAGCCTGTACACACAATATTCTTAATGTCAGTAATTGCGTGAATGTTAAAAACCAATAATTATTTGTATTGATAAATGTATATAGTTCTGAACAGACTGTGTATATTGTTTTGTTTATTCTCGTTGTTGTTGGTTTGTATATAACTCCTTCGTGACAGAGTAACTTCTTTTACCTAGTTATCTTTGTTATCAAATATTCAACTGCGTGATTACACAACCTCGCCTCATACTTAAGATTAGTATCATGTTCTTTTAACGTTTATTTAGATCGTTTTCGGCACACTTGTATTTAGTGAGTGAGCGACGGAGAGGCGAGCGAGCGGATCACAGTGCCCATCAAAGAGCGTCCCCTGCCCCTCACCACCACCACCTCCACAAGCCCAACCACACGCACTGACTCACCCTCGGCCCTTTCACCACCACCAGCAGCTTGGCCTTCCCACACCGGCGCGCGCATCCTTTCTCTGCTCTATTCCACCAAAGGCGTTGTGAGAGAAGTTGTAGGGGTGTGTAGTAAAGGCTGGGGGAAGTAACCATTGTATATCTGACGGTAAAGAGAAATATGATAGAATTTAAGATAAACTAAAGAACTGGCGAGAGCAAGCGACTGAAAGACTAGTTTTACGAAAATTGGCAGATGTTTGGTACGCTATTCGGGTGACTCCTGAGAGAACGATACTAAGGAATTGTGTTTGATACTTTATTGTTAAACCAAGAAGCGATTCAACCAAGCGGATTAAGTTTATTGATTACGGGAACGTCATACACTGTTTATTATTCAATAATATGGAGTTGGAATGTACAAGTGCCTTCGGATATTCACATTTAATAGAAATTTTTCGCTGTGAATTTCTGTGTTCGAAATATTTCCAGAATATAAGGTTTTTCAAGAGGAAAGTTGAAATCTCAGAGCAGGGAAACATGTTGGCTAAAGTAGGAAGTTTCTTGCTCACTCTGACCTTTTACAGTATCTTTTACTGTGGTCGAAAATGTGACTGACCTCTGCCTAACTTTCACTTAAGGCGTTTTAAGACCGTAAGTTATGTATGCACTTTTCAGGATGACGTCTAAAATCTTAAAACCAGGTTACATATTTGTTTTGTTTTATCTTGAAGCATTCGTAAGGTATCGGCCGTGCAGTCAGATATTCTTTTTATAACTAATCTTGTGAAGTTATAAAACTGGATTAAGAGACCCAACCCAACCCAACCCAACCCAACCCAACCCAACCCAACCCATGCGAGTATATATTTTCTCAAGTTCTGCTACATATACGCAAAGAGGAGAACGCCCCTCTGAATATTATCCCTGACAATTTACGATTGCGACTTATACCAATGAGAAACAACCTGAAAGTTATGATGGAATTTGGGGATGAACTTGAGGTAACATATTTCCAGAAGTTATGTTTCAAGTAAATTGAAACAGTCGTTAATTATTAGCGATATTTATTATGGACAGAGAGAGAGAGAGAGAGAGAGAGAGAGAGAGAGAGAGAGAGAGAGAGAGAGCACTCACATAGTATAGAGGAAGGTGTGTGTGTGTGTGTGTGTGTGTGTGTGTGTGTGTACAGTATATACAGCCGTGATGGAGAGGACAAGGTACCCCTGAGATTCTCCCATCACCTCAATTGGTGGAAGGAAAAACATCTGGATAATTTTCTTTTTTTGTGTTTTTATATTATTTTGGCAGCTTACAAACAGAGAGAAACTTAATATTTATGATAAAATATAGTTCTCACTTACGGTAGTATATAAGAACTGTACAAGTTCCTGATTAATATCGTTTTCATTTTAAATATACAAGCGGAAATATACACAATATATTCTGAGTGTAAGACTGCAGAGTGTACAGGGTCCAGGCTGTGGGTGCTTGTAATACTGGGCCAAGTAGGTGATCATAACGTTTATGACCACTCCTCTATATTGGTACAGTACAAAATTAGTCCCTCGCTTTTTAGTATGTTCCCGAGGTGTGTATCAGGTGTGTGTGTCAGGTGTGTGGCAGGTGTCTCCAGTGTTTTGGTTCGAATCTACGTCAGGTGATAAGTGTTCTCACCTTTTACCTGGCCCACCTAGCCTTAATCTTGCCCATTATTTTTTCCACCCTCATCACCTCATTCTTAAATGGCCAAGGTATTAATGCTATCTTACTCTACGGGTTTGAAACGTCTGTGAAAACTATTGTAAGGAATATAACAAGTGTTTTCCCAGGTGGAGGTTCGTCGTGTGTCGCTTGATGGCATTGTTTTGTTTCCACTCGGCTGCAATATTTTCCCAGCCTGACTGATCACATTCCAATTCCGAGAGTCCGGTGTTTCCTTTGCTGGATTGTAATTAGATTGAAATACCGTTTTACTGTAAACATGAGCTTCCCCAGTGAATTCCTCCAAAACCTTTAATGGATTTCTTTACTAGAATTACTTAGATCGTCAATACCTTCTTTTTTTTTATATATTCACGGGATACATTGTATGTTACAAGTGATTCATCCCAGATAAATGTTGTGGAGGTTGTTGGATGAAGACACCAGAAGCTTAATTTAAAAAGGAAGCGATACTCGGTAAGCTTCGTCTACTTTCTTGACTTTTTTATGATGTTCAAGTCTTAATGTTTGTCGTTAAATAAAATATTATAGTTTTTTGTATAAATTATATTCTGCTAACAATATCACAGGTTCATTGCTGCAACCCTTTGAGTCTTGAAGGGTTAAATCACAGTCGTCAAAGGGTTATATCATCGAAGTCAAAGGGTTAAATCACAGTCGTCAAAGGGTTACATCATCGAAGTCAAAGGGTTAAATCATTGTCGTCAAAGGGCTGCAGTGAATAAGGAAAATTAATAAGTGTCTGCTTGATATTGTGTGGTATATCTCTTACCCTTTAGGAAGACGTTTTATGCACATTTCAGGAAGATCTAGAAGACGCTTGGCATTCACTTGAAACTTAATTTTACACTTGACGAGTACAATTTGCTTTACAGTCAAAGCCCAAATATGTGAATTTTACTTTGTGGATCTAAGTAGTCAGGATTATATGCTTTGTTGGTGAAGTGAACATCCTAATTTACCAACACACACTCGCTGAAATTTCTCAAGGGAGTTTAACATTTAGCGAAAGTAGGTATTATTGATGTTTTGTGGCCAGTCGTTCTCACCTCCCCTCGTTAATTAATCATCATATTCTCATGTAATGTATAAATGTATGCAATATTTTTTTAATTCTGACCAGAGATTTTATAGCATATCTGAACATATTTTTTTGCAGTGCGATATGTGTGTGTGTGTGTGTGTGTGTGTGTGTGTGTGTGTGTGTGTGTGTGTGTTTTATTCCAGCCCCTTGTATTATTAAACACTGCAATGGTCTGTCGTACATGAAGGTGGGCATCCTGGAGGCACTGGTTTCTATTTGTGTAAGATGTTGAAGCTGTCCACACAAAGACACCGAACACTGTCTGGGGAGTTTCCTAGGAAGACCTTACAAATTATATACGTGTGTGTGTGTGTGTGTGTGTGTGTGTGTGTGTGTGTGTGTACTTGCAAGTGAGTTTGTGTGTGTGTGAGAAGCGTTTATTTTTTACTTAAATCACACAACATTACAGCGTCGAACATAACATATAACATTCTCTTTAAATAATACAACATCTCTTGTTAACTCTACGGCGTCACCTCATCCCAAGACTCTTGAGGTGACACACAATACCTGTCTCTTGTAATCACCACTATTAAATTTCTCCCAAGGTCGATAACTCTATAGTGGCGGATCATGGCGAGAGAAAATTGGCCGCAGAGGGACGAGGCAGCGGTAGATCCTCGTCTTACTCTCACTAATTGGCGTTAATTGACTTGAAGAACTTTTTTGAACATCGTGTATTTGTTTTGCCGTTCAAGTTCACATGAGAATAATCTCTAGATGGATATTGTGTGTGGATCAACAGAGGTTAGGTTAGGTTAGGTTCGGTTAGGTTAGGTTTGTAAAAAACATATAAAGGAGAAAAAAAATTAACTCAGTCATTGTCAGATGAGTTTTTTTTTATAAGCCTGAATTATTTTTGAATAACTTTTAACATTTCCAAAAACTAATTCACCTCATGGTTTACACAGACGAAAGAAAGAATAACTCATATTTACGTAATTACTTATATATCAAGGGATGATTTTTGTACGTTGGAAAAATCTTCCTTAGTTTACATTTCGTGTAGAAAGAGAGAGAGAGAGAGAGACGGTAAGGAAAAGAATCGAGGAGGGAAAAAGTCGAAAAGTAGGAAAGAGTAAAATTTAATTAGCTGTGAAATGAATTAGATTAGAGTAAAATGAAGAAATAAAAATCTCAAGATGAAAATTAATCGAGTCGAAAATTAGTATAAGAAGAAAAAATGGGAAGGTGAAAGGAGGAGAAGAAAGACAGCAATAAAGAAGTGATGAGAAAAATACACTAAAAGGGAAGAATGAGGTGGAGAAGAAGGAGGTAGAGACGGGGAGCGAGGTAGAGAGACGAGGAGTGAGGTAGAGAGAGACGAGAAGTGAGGTAGAGAGAGACGGGAAGTGCAATAAAGAGAGACGGGGAGTGAAGTAGAGACGAGGAGTGAGGTAGAGAGAGGCGAGGAGTGAGGTAGAGACGAGGAGTGAGGTAGAGAGAGACGGGAAGTGCAATACAGAGAGACGGGGAGTGAAGTAGAGACGAGGAGTGAGGTAGAGAGAGGCGAGGAGTGAGGTAGAGAGAGGACGGGGAAGTAGAGACGAGGAGTGAGAGAGAGGCGAGGAGGAGGTAGAGAGAGACGAGGAGGAGAGGTAGAGAGACGAGGAGGAGAGACAGGGAGTGAGGTAGAGAGAGACGAGGAGGAGGTAGAGAGACGAGGAGTGAGGTGAGAGAGAGACGAGAAGTGAGGTAGAGAGAGGAGGTAAAGAGACGGGGTGAAGTAGAGACGAGGAGGTGAGTAGAGAGAGGCGAGGAGGAGGTAGAGAGGAGACGAGAGGAGGGGAGAGAGAGGAGGAGGTAGAGAGAGGACGAAGTAAGAGAGAGACGGGAAGTGCGGTAAAGAGAGACGGGAAGGAAGTAGAGACGAGGGGAGGTAGAGAGAGGCGAGGAGGAGGGAGAGATGGAGACGAGGAGGTAGAGAGAGACGAGGAGTGAGGTAGAGAGAGACGAGGAGGAGGTAGAGAGAGAGACAGAAGTGAGGTAGAGAGAGACGGGAAGTGCGGTAAAGAGAGACGGGAAGTGAAGTAGAGACGAGGAGTGAGGTAGAGAGAGACGAAAAGTGAGGTAGAGAGAGACGGGAAGTGAAGTAGAGACGAGGAGTGGGGTAGAGAGAGACGAGGAGTGAGGTAGAGAGAGACGGGAAGTGAGGTAGAGAGAGACGAGGAGTGAGGTAGAGAGAGAGACGGGGAGTG